CAGCATACCGCCAATCTCGCCCTGCTTGGGATCACTGCGTGACCTGGTCCCAAATTTCCATCAACAGGTAACACTTGAATATACTGCAGCCTTTATGTACGATATTTAGCTGAAGGATATCATAAATGAGAGTGTCAGCTGAAATTCATTTGGTCTCCCGTTGAAAGCTAATTAGTGAACTTCGCGAGATGCCATGACTTTACTTTGACACCACTCTCGTTTGAGCAGCCCTCCTCGAGACCTGGTGCAATGAATCTGGTCTGTTCATTGTAAAGAGGTGAAGCGCTGCACTCGAGTTTTGTGCTTATCTGAGCTTGTCAATAATGCATAAATTTGACCGTGCTGGATTTAGAACTCCCAGTACCTGGTATGTGAGTTGCGTGCTCCACCAGTACAGACTAAACTGGGAAGCATGTGCACGCTCGAGGGTTGCGACTGGTTTCCTCGGCCTCACACAATATGATGTGGACTAATTTAGCCAGGATGGGATAGGGACCGTTTAAACGAGAGTGAATATGAAATCTACAGGTTCCATTATCACCAAAATCTGACACCATAGCTGCTTACAAGGAATACGTGGAAATATATATAACCTAATTATAACATGAATAAAAAGCACTTCCAACAAACTGCTTTTTTAGGTTTCCCAAGAGTTGAACCGCTGAAACAAATTGTTATTCATGCCGTCTTCATGGGGTTGTGTGTTCGAGAACGTGAGGAACTCACTGTCATTCTCGCTGGGTTGAAAGCTTCTCATTGATCCGATTTCACTAGGCATCTCTAGTCCACCACCACATCTTCGAAGACAACGCATTTCCGTCTCGTTGCCAGGGCCACTTGGATTGGCATGTGAAGTGACACCTGGATAGCTGCTCCTGAAACAAATGGAGAATGACTAAGTCATTAGCGCCTGAACACAGGATGCCCCAAAACATCGATCTGTAAACAGGCTAATCAACCAAGGAACGAATAGTTCAACTACCGGAAACTATGTGAAGGTCACAAAATTTGGAGTCTCTAGAAATATTATCATAAGAATCAGCTGACAAAGCCTCCTAAGTCCTTCGATTGGCGGGGGGCGGGTTATAAACAATTTTCACGTAGAATGCTTTGCGAATTTCACTAAATACCCATAATCCTGCTGCCAAACGTAGCAAAATTCATCTGCCTTATTTCCAGCACGGCAGTGGTGTTGGGGATGAGTGGAAATTGGAAAATTAGTATCAGCCGATAAGGAGAAACTTTTATTGGGTGTTTGGCTGAAAAACTACCTCGCAACCTGCTCATGCGGCGTACCGGATACATGCCCGCAAAGACGGCAAGTCTGTTGAGAGTGAACGTCATCGGTTGGGCACAAGCAGGGGACATGAAGTAGAAAAACCGCACAATCGGTTTTCTTACCACGGTGTCAACAGACTGTGTGAATTCATGGTCATAAAGAATTCACTGTTTTTTGGTCTGGATACAAACGCATGCCACAGAAAAACCGAGGCAGCTATCGGTTGTGTTTTTGACAATACAAGGGACGAAGCTGTTGACACCAGAGTTCCTAGAATTCCTGACGTTTTTTCTGTTTTACCTTTGATTCTCACATCGGTTGGGCGCGTAAATCACCTGCCATCAGAAACCGTACGCACTATAACGGATTTGTGGCTGGAAACTCTGATGAACTGAGGATAATATTTGGGCACCGTGGGCTTGATTCAGTAGAGCCCAAGAAACAACAGTGAAGCATGCACAGCTGGCCTCTGCTAGATTCTCTGCTCGTACCTGTGAAAATGTTTTTAAATTTTATACCCAAACCATCCCGTTTGAGTAGCCCTTCTTCTGTCCATGGGATTACCTGTGATCTGCCAGCCAAGAGGGCGCCTGAAACTGTATACTAAAGGGATCTGTCCGTAGAGGAAACTGGAAGACGCCTTCTCCCCTGGTATTCTCCTTTCGGACGATCAACCTGTATGATTTTCACACTGATATTAGGTAAATTACCTGGCCGTACCCTTCATACGCAACTGTTAACTTGCGTTTCTAGGGAAGTCAGTGAATTGACCAGTGCTATGTGAAAAATTGGGAAACTTTAAGTTTTCTGCTGGGCATATTCAGCATGGTATACTTGTAGTGTTGAAGATTACTTTGGTCACATTGGGAGTGGCGCACCGAAAATGTCAATGGTTTTGTATTGTCATTGAACCGAATTTCCAAAAAAAACTAGGTGGTATCCAACCATGTATTTAATGGGATTAATCCACAGAAACAAAGTTTTTACTTGGGAAAAAACATGAAATCCATAGCCCGTAAACTCAGTGCTATTGACGGTGTTCCCAGTTGAGAGCAATAACTCTAAGCACGGTCGAGGTTCAATCCCCGAACAGTAGGAACATCGTCTTGAGGTTACTCATTTTGGTGTTAGGAATGTAGCCTCTGGTGTTAAAATATTGTTCTGGTTGCTACACATTATTCATTTTACATGAAGAAACGCAAATCAAACACAAAAATAACGAAAATGTGTAGACATGATGAAAATATCGTCTAAAGAGGTTCCAATACCTTGTTGGTCGCTTTATGCGTTTCCAAAGATTTATGGGCACATTTGTTGGGAACAGTTGAAGTAATTAGCGTTAGAAAGAGGGCGCTAAATCAGAGCCAAAAGCGGAGGCAAGGTGGAGGACTCCAGCTAGACCGATCAAACTGTTAGCTGGATCCCTATTCCGTACGCAGTTCCCTTGTAAGTCAAGTAAATGACCTTTCTTCTAATGTTCGTAATGCCAAAATATAGCTGAACTTCCCACAGGTTTCAGGTCAACTTCACACTAACATAAGTCATTGTCACAGGAGAGAACTTTGTCAGATAAGAACAGAAGTGTGTGAGGCTTCAAGTATAATGAATGATTTTATCCAATCGGATGAGGTACAGTCCTCAATAATTAATAAGCCCTGAGAAATATGAAAGCACCCACAGACCTGCTACCATGCGAATATCTTGGGTCCTAGGTCTAGTGCTTTCTTTTCCGATTTCTGCTGGTAAATGACATCAGTTTGTCAAGAACAGCTAACTTTATGCTTTTTTGACTGCACTAAAAGCCAAGCCACGTGGTGGGCACAGATGTTCTGCCAACCTGAGGCATTTCTTGTCCAAGTGAGACCCGAGTTAGTACCACTAGTCAGAACCACCGTTAACCGCATTTCAAGAAGTAGATCGTTATGGCATCAAGATATCTGTATCCGTGACGGGCCACTCTTACATCTGGCTTGATCGAGCGAACACTAGAAACGAATGACTTTAAAGCTCACTACGAAATTGAGGATAAAACTGCTCCTTTTCAAGAGCTGTCATATTCAGTCGGTGAACATTTATTCCATTCACTCTAGACATTCGGTTCATTTGTTAACCGTTGGCTACGCAGCTAATTAGCACATTCATGGCATTAGGAAAGTTAAAATTTTGAAGGATTGCATACTTATTTAGGGATTACTTGAGGTGAAAATTATTCCAACATTTCTGGAAGCACTGCTATATACATATATATACATATATCAGGCGAAGTTTTTCCGGATCAGATATATTTACATTGAGTCCTGTTGAATAAATTACAAGCTAAGTACAAAGTGATCATTGACACGGACATATTTGATAAACGGGACGTTTTGCAGACCAAAATCGGCTTTCTAAGGGTATCGGAAAATTGTATCCACTTACAAAATAATCAGTTCAAATTATAAAGGATAACACTGAGGCTGAGACCCATTGATGTGGGCCTATCTCTTGACTGGCGATAAAGTGATTGGTGTAGACTTATCATTCTCAATGGTAGAATCCACGCGTTCGTGAATCTAGCGGTCTCGGTTTAGGTATATCTCGTAGGAGAACGTGCTAAAACCGGGAATTCTTAGCAAGATGGGTAAATTCCACCCTTCTTTCCTGTGGGTTTGCTGTTTACAGCTGGACAGTGGACGTCCCATAAATTGTAGATGCCTCCGAGTCTTAACTAGAAAGGCTGTCTTCCATCTTATAGGATCTGCTCACAATATCGTAGACACCAACACAAAATTCGGCGCCATTATAGACAGCAGTGAACAAAACCAGCCGTGAATACCAATCAACCGTCAGGGTCCATTACCTTGTCACATTAACTATTCCGGCCCATTCGGGACCATAAAAGAAAGAAATAGACCGTTTTATGGACAAGGTCGGTAAAGCATATAAAGTGGGTCAGAGGCACAGCTTGCTGAACGAGAAGACAGTTGATAACAAAAGCGATCGAAGTTATCTAAATGTCCAATATCTAAACGTCCAATACCACATAGTGTCCTACCGTTTGGAGCGAAGCTAAAGGACAGATTGATGACCCTTGGTCAGAATGTTTATACAAGCCTGTACTTTTGTTGGCGTATGCAAACAAGGCATAAGACTTCAAAATGAAGCAGTGTAGCCAGCGCCTATAGTATAAACATTGAGGTCCGCTTGCTACAACTTGGTCATTCAGCAGGAAAGAGCTACTACAACGGCAGTATAAAACAATTAAGGCCAGGTGGCAAATTTTTTTCTAAACTTTGCGGTCATTAGTACCGGCGTCCGCTTTTCGGGGCTCATTTGGAATAGCAGTGCACCTGTGCTTCCATTTGAACTGATGCAATGTAAATATATCTGACGTCAGTGCACCACTTGATTGTGCCTGACTGTCCGGTGTACACAGAGACGAGGGTCCAACAGCGCATTTTAAATTTGGAAAACTCCTGCAGTAATAAGTAATCCGACTGAATCAATTGATGCAACAACCACTTATATCCCGGTTGACATTACGTCGTTATAATGTAAATCGTTTTTATCACACCGTGGTTTACAGTAAACGAGTTCTACAGGAAAGAACGATCAATCAAGATGTCCAACTACGTCACTCGCATAAAGATTGCCCGGATTATTAATACTGTTTATGGTTCCGATTTTGGTTACACCTGATTTGATCAGCACCGTATGCGGCCGGTATACGAAATGCGTTGTCGGCCAAGTACACTTACGACTGCAACCAAAGTTGACTGGTGGTTTTTCATCATGGTGTGAGGAAACGCTAGGCTCAAACATAGCGTTATCTGACTACTAGTTTGACGTTCTGAGACAAAATATTTTGACGTAGACATCAAATTTGTTCCCACGTGCCTTGAAATGAAGGAAATAGTTCGCCCTTTCTTCCTTGCGGCACCGCGAACGTTACACACAGTACTTCTGTTTGCCTTTTTTCTAGATTGTCAGTACACATGTGATAATAAACGATAAGCGCACGAACAGGTTATATTTCTGCAGGACTTTTACCATCCATGACAAGCCTACGGGTATTTCTGAAAGCAGTGATACTGAGCTGGTGAGCCTAAGCGAACTAGACATCACGGTCTGAGCTCCATGAGATAAACCGCTTCTGTGGGGATCATGCTGGTTTTGTTGACCAACTCTCGGCCCAGGAACAGATGGAATCATCTAATTGCTAGATAATCATGTCTCCCCCCACTTCGAGGGAATTAGGCGCGCCAATAATTATTCCTTTGGGACTATTTTGGAAACGTTAAGTAAACTCTATAATTTAGTTTGTGACATAATGTCCTTGTGAAGCAAATAAAACGGTTGATATAGGAGTAGAGGTTGAACACTTATTCGGAAACACTTTTACTCATCCCTAGTCCGATATTTACTGTCGAGCATTCCGTGCTAACTTTGACAAGTTCTCACTATTAGCACCATTCCAGTCACTCCTCAGCAGAAGCTTTCGGTCCAAGAACACTGGTAAGGGCATAGAACGCGTTGTTCCTGCATACATCAGACCACATTACAGTTGTCAGTATGGTCTTAGGCTAACTGACCAAAGTTCAACACGAGAACAACAAGATCAGAGGAGCACGAAAGCGTAGTCTCTCAAACCCCGGTCAATTGGTATTCAAACGAATATGGTCCCGCTATTATTCAAATTATTATTATTATATTTTATCATTATTATTCAAATGTGTACGAATTACGGACTCTTTCCAGATCTGTTTTGACTTGCGCAGCCCACCTTACCACATCGTAGTCAAAAAGCTTCCTGGTCCTCTTGAGCAAATCATTGTCTAAGTCATTAGCGGAGTCTTGTTTATAAAACATCTGCAAGTTCGACGATACTATCAAGAAGTAAGGCTTCGTAATCCACCAGAGTTATGCTTCATGTCCGAGATTAAACAATACTTAAACAAAGCCGTTTGCCGAAGAACTTGCTATCACAATCGAGAATCGACTAACATTTGTTAACATAAACTGACGAAATTTTCGGTTTGCTTAAGACGGTCCCGCGTAGAAGACGTGACACTATTTTATGTGGGTCCCTTGACGGGACACATGGATTAGTTATCATCTTGTTTTGATAAGTAGCCGAGTAACTGCAATTTTCTTATCATTCACGTGGTATTTTATGTCCTTCTTTGGTTGGTATACAGAACGCCGAAAAGATAATATTATGCTATGGTGTGAATGAATTTTGCTAACTGCGGATGGTGTGTTGGTTACCGTCTGAGTTTCAGTCAGAGTATAAAAAATGTGTCCAAAAGATTGGTGAAATCATCACCAAACATTTGTTTGGTAGTCAGCTAACTCCCTGGGGCAAATTCGTAGCGTCATACACACAAAAGATATTTACCAACTTCCGAGGATAATTTTCACTGGAAAACCGTCCTATAAAGACCGCGTTTGGAGGGGGGAAATCTCTGTTGAATGCAATTTCTATTTGCTGGAACTTTTGCAAGGAAAAACCATAGTTTCAAGAAACATCTGTCCGAGATAGCTGTTAACATGGCCAGCATTCACAATATAATACCCTTTGTAAGGCATGAAAAATTAGCAAGCGACATTGGGTATCCAGAGCCGCATTGGGGCTAACTACGAGCTCAAATAGTTATTTTTTTGTGACAAACCTTGAGTTGACATTGTGGCCCAAAAATGAGTCCAAACATTTCAAATTAATACTCATTTCGGAGCTACTTAAAAATTACACTGGTATGTTGCGACGCAGGTGGAACGTTTTACCGAAAACAATGTGAGCGTACGATAAGGCTTCCCTATGGGCGTGTTTGTCCGTCAGGACCGACGTGACAGTTTACAGCGGAAAAATGGAGTTAATTGACTCACTTTAATTCCGCTGAACTGGGCAACACACCTGAAAATAAATGGAAATGAGTCATGATGAAAGATGATATCAACCAAGTACGTAACTCTACTTAATAGGATATTGTGTGGGGAATAAAATTTTTGAGAGGTTAAGACTCAAATTTGACAGATAAAATTGAAAACCGTCGCTTCCCAAACTAAGCTATACTTGGAATCATCATCTCCATCATCATTATTATAATCATCATCATCGACAGCATAACATCAGTTTTCAACACTGATGCTCTGCTGGTGTACACATTTCTGGAATTTACCAGAATTCAGTGTGTCTTGCAGTAGTGCAGCCGTAACAGATGTTAAGCTCCAAGGCTTCCCTCGTGTCACAGTTTTCTGAATGACTAAATTAAATGAAACATGTGAGCATGTGGACAAAAGTCAAATAATATTTCTAAATTCCCTATTCAATCTGGACCCCTTTGCTAAATAAAACGTGTCGAGTGCAGGACGGGCTGACCAAGTCAATGGACGTTCCGAACTAATTCATTTTAATCACGAGGGAGCAGTATGCTTGACCACGTGAACATCAGTTTGTACTCTGGACTTTGATAACAACAAGGAGACGAGTACTGTTGAAATTCTTCGGAACTTATCGTAAATCCGTCAACTGTAGATTTACGCGAACTTTGATCACGCGAATCTATAGCGGTTCGGTAGCCTGGCTGCGTAAATATGCGTACGGCATCAATAAACTGTCTATGGTAAGCTACCTCATTCTATAAAATCAGTGACTTTGTCGTATATTAGATCACCCCTGGTCGTGATGTCCAACTTACAAGATCAAACGAAGGTCGGCTTGTCGTCAGTCTGTTGTTTTTGCTATCTCAGTTGACATCTTGACCGATAATCGGTCGAATAATTTGCGTTGTTTTATTTTGTAAGTTCATTGTGCATGCGCTTAATGAGTAAACGGATTTGTAAAGCTGAATTTCTCATAGTCCAGACATAATTAAACTAAAGCCATGAGAACCAGGTTGCAGGACCGATGCAGAGTGCATGAATACGGTTATCAGGTCAAATTTGAACCCATCCAGACTGTTTTTGGGAACTTACTCAAATCCCATGTACGTTGAATAAATGCCCAGGTTGATAATTTCATCATAATTTCATTAATATGCGAGCATATTTCAAAAACGAACCACCGGAGGCAGGTCTATGGACGCGTTTGTTGGAATCTGCACATAGTTTTCGGGTGTTCTTGAGACTTTCACAATTGAAGTTGAGTGATTCGAGCTTACCCATGAGTTTTAGTCTTTTTTTGTTTAATTTCTTAAGGCCTGACTACATCTCGCCTACCCCGTCTTGTGGCAAGTTTGTCATAACTGAAAGGCCTCATTGTTTTCAATTGTGATACGAAAGAACTGAGAGCTACCGGAGAGGAAAACAATTCAAAAATCGTTCGTTCGTCCTCTTGATGTCATTCAGCCAGCAATTGCGTACACGGAATTTCTCAGTTTTTTTCTGAAACGGCCTTTATAATAAACTTCTAACGAACCTGTGGCCCAGAGGCCATACTGAGCATCTTACAACGCACAATCTAGACTATACATGGAGCTTTGGTCGTTTTTCTGAACGGCCTTTATAATAAACTTCTAACGAACCTGTGGCCCAGAGGCCATACTGAGCATCTTACAACGCACAATCTAGACTATACATGGAGCTTTGGTCGTGGAATGCAAATGGTTATTTGCAATAACATCTATCTTGGAACTTTGCCACTCTGAGTTGTTTCTCATCGTAAATTGTTTTACAATAAAAAAACGTTCGATCTGATGTCACATTTAGGCCAGGCATTGTCCTTAAGGAAAACTTGCAGTAGAAATAGATGAGCTCCGGTTATCTGTAAGCCTCTAATACTCGCGAGATGCACTAAGTGCAAAAATACATCAGAAGTGTACGGAAGTACGGAATGAACGTTTTGAGCTATACTAGCCAAATAAAAGACGTAGTAGAGAGAGTGAAATTTTTCATTTCTTGGGCTCCGGTTTACCAGAATTTTTTAGGCCACTGTTATAAGAGAGAAATACCCGTAAGCGTCTAAAATTACCTGCTCATCATGTAAAAATATTTTTTTCCACATTAATTTAAATGTAGAAAAACGGATCCTTGTTCTGTGGAAAAAATACAAGACTGTTCGATATTTTCATTAGACAAAATGGTAGGCTACTGCAGTCCCCCGTTTAACTTTTCCCTATGGTAACAGATCGTCCTGCACAAAACCAACCACTTTATCTCGGTTTCTCTGAAAATTAACCAATAAAGCAATGGGCCAAAAATATTTGACAGATTTTTTTTCACAAAATACCGCTTTCCAAAACAAATAAGAGAGTGTAAACACACGGCAGTGAAGCATCCTTGTTGAACACCGATGTTATGTTATCCATGATGGTGATGATGATCAAGAACTACTGTTTTCTGTTGCGATGTGATAATACTCATGACATATGTCACGTTAACCCCAACTGGTTACCTCCGGTGTGCATTATTAATGTTGAATAATGGGTCTAACAGTCTAACTTACCATTCGAAGGGGTAATTCTATGACTCTAGCATACTCTAGTGAATCAGGTTCAATAACTTGGAGGGTTGGCTAAAATTAGCCTGGTTTGACTGCTCTAATCAAAAGCTCAGTTGTTAGAGTGGAAGAACAACCATACATCTCCAGGTCTGTCTGTGATCCTCTGGTAAGAAGAGGGGAATTCCGATAATTTAACGGTGAGCTGTTGGGCTCAGACAAATGGATTCCACAAGTGTAAACAGAGAGTATGTATTATGAATGAGCTCTGATACGAATGAAAATTGAATCTAACACCTAGCCAATTTTGTATGTGCCAACCAGAAAAAGAATGTCGGGGTGAAAATGGAGGTACCCGAAAAATCGATATTAGTACAACTTGACTGTATATTACAGTCAAGGGTGGAATACCAGTAAGGGGTTATTGTCATTGTTCGAAAGTAATTGAGTTGAAGAAAGTACATTCGTAGATCACAAGTGTCTCAGTTCGCAGACTACCTACGAGTAACACAAAACCAAAGTCGGAAACAGCTTGATCTGCAACACAGGAAGCGCAATTCATGCTTTTTTTCCATCATGGACCCGACAACTGATTGCGGTCTGTCCGAAGTATGTTCTGCGATACCTCAGTGCGATGAAGGTCTTCGATTTGAAGAATGGTAACTTTCACTACTAGGTTAGGGACAGCTTGGACAATACTTCAGCACCAGCGCTTGATAATGTAGGTCCAGTTGACTGAAAAGATACTGGAACAGTTAAAATAGCTCGATAACATTGTCAATTTACCCGTAACAAAGTGCATATATTGTGAAGTATTTTTGAAGCGCTCATGAATTACACTGAAAAAGGAAGTAAGCATTATTCTGCCCTTAAACAATACTGTAACTTGCGTGACAACACGCAAACACAGCTTTCTATATAAAATTATGGTACAGACAACTCCTGTTTGTTCGGGCACAAACGATTTCAGACCAGTAAAACTCCCATCGTAGTTTAAATGTAGGCCAGTTATTATGACGATCCTGCATTGCAGGCTGTGTTCTGCTACTTTAGAAACCCTATTGTGAATCCATCAGTCTACGAGATGACTACGAGATGAAATTTCAATTATGTTCAAAGACGTATTGGAAAGTGACCACTGTGGGAAATTTGGTACATCCAGGAGTTCAATATTTAACCCATAAGGTAGACGGTTTTCTGTGCGTTATTCAGGAATATCAACATCCAGTAAGAAAACGCTAGATTGATTTAAAGCTCCACAGTACTTGATCCGAACAGTAGGATTTTCCCAAAAAACAAATTTTCTGGCTTCCAACGTCCAATACCAATTCGATTCTGAAGAATGTAGTAAAATGTAGTCAAACAGTGGAAGACTGGGCTCAAATACCAACGGATATACCAGATTCCCCCGAAAAGTGATCGCTTGTTTCAAAGGCCATCCGGTTGTTACGTAGAACCAATCACACCTGCCTTAGCTAGTTCCACCGCATTTCATTCTGATATCCAAATTTTTGGAGATTAGATATACACAGCATCCAGTAGGTGACTAAATGATCTTTTGGACGTTTGAGCCGCGGAGGATATCTGTCCAAATCACTTAGGAAGTTGGATGCTAAATCCTTACCGAAGGTTAGTCTATCGATGCACCTAAGACAGCTCATCGTTAGCATGTAATCAATAGATACATAAGTACACTGAGGGTGTGAATACACACAATGCAGTCTTGCGAGCGAAAATTAACAGCTGTGTGCACTTCTAACACACACAAGGTCACATGTCGCAACCAAGCTGGACAACTTGGTGTAAGATAGTTGGATTTGTTCAAAATACAACCAGTTCAGTGGTAGTTAAATGTAAGAACCCGTCACAAGGAGAGCAGATCTTGCCAGACTGTCACAGCTTGTGTGCCTCCACAACCCACTGAACTATACTCGGGGGTGCCCGCGCGACACTCACAGGATCTCCCATACCAAGTTGGTCAGTGGTTAGAAGTCTGACGAACGCAGCCTCCTCCAGCATCCAGGTTGGGGGTTGGAAAATATGTAGCGACTTTTTCTATTCAAATGGTAATATAGTTGAATCTGCAGTAAAGCACCTCTGCCTTGTGGTCGGGCTTTGGAGCCAAAGGTTTTCTTCGAAGACCCTAGTCGTCCACCTGACTAGGTCTGGGCGCCCTGGAATCATCCTAGCCCGCATACAGGCATGAATTGCACCCTTACAAATAATCTCACGTCACATCAACCGTCGCGTTGTGCCATCCGCCGGATCGCCTTACTTGCTGCATACAGCAGGGCGGGTAAGCGAAAACAGGCCACTATTGACGCCTGTGTCCTTTATATTCCATATAGGTTTTCTCCCACCTCTCTTCGCCCACCAATAAGTCTCTTCTTGTAGGCCCAGCACTTAGGACTGATGACTCTTTTGGTTCTGCATCGGTTTGGCAAGCAACATCTGCGCGTCATCCGGCGCCGACATTCTCAGGCATCTGGAAATTAATCTTCAAACCTCAACGTCCAGTCTATCTGGCGGCGTTGAATATCCGCACTCTGAAGCCAGCAGGACAACAATCTGCTCTTGCTCATAAACTGGCATTGATATAAACCGTGTATCAGAAACAAGAATACAAGATGAGAGTACAGTGGCTGAGTCAACTGCCCCATCACTCCACTCACTTCGGGCTGCCCACCTCTGGCTGCTCCGGCAAGATATGCACCAGGCTGATCACAGACTGGTTTTGTGCAATATTAGCTTCCAAAATAATCTAGTTCGTTTGGCCACATGGTATCCTTCAACGGTGTATCAGTTAAAAACCCAAACTGATAACATTGTCACCAGTTTAATAATGGCGCGGATCAATAACTGACTGACGCTCGTTTTGGAACACATTTGTAGGTTCAGATCGCGAGCTCGTCCGGAGTCACTTCTACCTTCGTTTTTCAGGGCAATGTAAACTGCGAACAAATCGCTTAGTAACTGCGAGACTGGAAAATCAATATATTGGACGAATTTACCATAATTGTCTTCTAGAGTCCGTTTCAACTGCTCCACCATCAAATGTGATTCATACTGGGATGAGATCGCTACCTCTTTCCACAGTGCTCGAAGTGTTGCCTGTGGTGCGGCGCTATCAGGCCTACTCAAGCACTGAATATCAGACCAAACAGCGGTACTGCTTAAATCACAGAAAAATATCACTTCCGGCCCCGAACATAAATTGGCCTGATGAATTACCAGACGTCAAATGAAAGTGGGCGCGCGCGCCGACCGTGAAGTCTGGTGGACTCGGAAGGCTAAGGAAATGGAAGAGGCGTAGAAAGCCGGAAATGCCCTAAAAATACTTCATTTGATCCGTGCAACCGGTTCCAGAAAACCACCGATAAGCGAAACCATCAAGGATTAAAGGGGTTCGACCACCTTGCATAACGCCTCAACTGCTGAGCCGAATACGTCAAACAACACTTACCATGGTCACCCGTTCGAATTTTACGGCTAAAGAAGAATCCTGGACGGTGAATCAGGAGCCCACATAGACTGCATCTGCTCTCGAGAGAGCCTGGTTCGGATGGCCTGTCACTCACATTTTCAAGGATGGGAGTTGAGTTCTCAGTCAGCGCCTGTCTCATCTATTTGTCTGCATTTGTGAAAGCAGACTGTCCCAGACATTTGAGAAGAATCGTCAATAGTGCCCTTTTTTGAGAACAAGGGGCTCATAAAAAGTGCGGTAATCACAGGGCGATCACCTGGATTGTAACAAGACTGTTGGCATCAGTTCTCTTTCGTCGCCTCACGAAACACTGACCCGAGGACACCAAGCGGGATTCTGGCTTGGTAGGGGTTGCGTTGACCAAATTTTTACACTCCGTCAGGTGCTAGAACAAGCCCACTCTAGTATTCCTAGATTCTCAAAGCATATTAGATTCGGTTGATCTCCGTGACACGTCTGTCCATCAAATAATGCCCCGGAAGTTTATGAACATAATAAGCTATTTGTATGCTCAGACTTCTGGATGCAAGAGCGTATAGAGGGAGCTTCCCAAAAGATTCCACATGTAAATTGGTGTTCGTCATGGATGCCCACTTCCTCCATTCCTGTGTAATTTCCCGATCAATGAGATAGTGTTACGAACGCTGGAAAGTCTACAAAAGCCCAGTGTTCGAATAGCCTCTGACGAAAACCTTGTTGATCCGGAGCATACAAGCACTATTGTTCTCGTCTTCGAAGGCGCAGGCGTTCTTGGATGAACTGGCCGAAGTCATTTCTTTCTTTGGTATGCAATTTCCATCCACAAAGTGTTAGATCATGCTCCCGGACTTGCAGTCACTGGACACGCCACTTTCAATCCAGGGTGAGACGCCCGAAATGGTGTGGAGCGTTTTACGTATCATGGGAGTTGCACTACTTCTACTTGTAATGTGACAGATGAGGTCAATTCACGAATCTATAAGGCTCTGGTAGCGTTCGCTTATTGGAGACACCTATTTTATCAAAATGGTGCGTCCCTGAATCACAAGGGATGTGTGTATCAGGCTACAGTGCGGACTGTTTTGTTTTATGGCTGTGAGACTCGGCCTGTTCGAGAAGGGGAACTGAGACGTCTTCAGGTGTTCGACAATGGTTGTCTCAGAACCGTAGCTCGTGTGGGTTAGTGTCGGCGTATCCGTAACGAGACAGTTATAAAGCGAGTTCTTGGCTGTGCAACGGGTGCTGCCATTGAAAGATGAATCCAGCACCGGAAGCTGGGCTGGTTGGGATATGTGTTTCGGGTGTCCAACCATCGTTTTCCAAAGAAAGTGCTGTTTCCCATGCCCATTTCGGATGTGGTCAACCTCCGCCCTCGCAGAACGGTATGAAAGATGTCACGAAAAGTCAAGATGTTGTAGGTGTGACTCGTCTTTCAGGATACGGACCGCATGATCTCCACTGAGCTTGTTTGGAGACGCTGCAAAGTGAAGATTTAGGCACCGTAAAATGACTGTGCTAGGTTAGCACTAAGTCCCTTCCTCGTTCACGTTTTCCTCTTCCTGACAACAGGGTTTTCAAACAAATCAAGGTTGTACTGCAGCAAAGCATCAGTGTTGAACAATGGTATTATACTGTCTATGATGATGACGATACTAGGAATCAGTTAAATGACAAATGAAAAGCATCAGCCACAGAAAGTAGAGCATCAAGGATCGTCAGAAAACGTAGCCCTATCCACTGAAATCGTGGAATTTTCAATTGCTATTGCTAGAGGGTGTATAGATGGAGATAAAATTCGCAGACACAATAGGGGTGGATGATGAGGAAATAACGCCAAAAATTATCTCACCTTGTGGTTCGTACTACTTGTATTTTTTTGCCAGCTGTGTTCAAGCGGCTCTCCACTAAGTTGATCTTCCTACTAGTGGCTGACCACAAATTTTTTCGGACGACGCATCTAGTCCCACGATAAATTGACCTATGATAAACTGATCGGTCATGATAGATATTTGGTCGTTGTGAAAAACTTAAAAGGTCCTATATACTCATTACACTTGTATATCGTTAGATGAACTTTGTTCATTCTCACCAGCTTTTTTTCTGTTCCGGCATGCAACAAATAGTCCAACCAGAACAAGCGCGAGAATGAGGAACAAGAGGGCCCCCGTAACCGCCAAGGCCATCAGTGGTGTCCCCAAAATCACTTCACGGTCACCAACTTCTGTGGAAAAATGAAAGATATAGATGTTTTAGTAATCGTTTACGGTCGGGTGGTCGTTACGGCTAAAATTAGAGAATATCGCTCCCGGAAGTGTCCTGAAGAATAGCCTCAGAAATTCGGAGGTACTGGCAGTCGGTCAGACAATGGCAGTCCGCCCTCACCATCAATGCTCGTTTGGATTTGCCACTGCATGCAACGTCGGTGTTGAATTTTGTGCTGATATATGATTCTTCACCAGCTTGAACTTGCTCCGCATAAAGAGGCTAAACTGATGAGGTGCAAAGGGATTTCCTCATCTGGTTCAAACTATTTATAGGAATCCAGACCAAGCCCAAACGAGGTTTGAGAAAAAACCTACCGGACACCGAACATTGCGTTGTAATGCACGGCAAACACGGGGTTAGAAACGGTGTAAATCAATATCGAAAAAACGTTTGTTGTGAATGTCAGTCTCTTTGTGTGCCCAGACGTTTAGGCTAGGTTCAGTCGACACTACTCTCCTGTGAAGTACAATTGTTTTCGTTCAATCCTCGATGGTTTGCCACGAATGTTTGGCGGAATTCTTAACGATGAAAGATGTGACTTTCTGCCGGAACATATTTGGAATTAGATGTCAGGGCAGAGATGACGCCTCGACGATGACTCGACATGGCCACCACAACACTCCCAGGGGCGTGCCTTGCGACTCGATACCCATTACTTTGTACGACATGAGTAGCATTTGAGAATTATACAGCTTTTCGTTAGCAAAGAAGATGTATTGTACTTCTGTGCAACCCCATTGACCTGATAGCCTTACAGTTTGATGTATGATACTTACAGGCTTCCCATCACCTGAAACTGAATGTACAGTTTGTTCGGGTAGATTCGTCTTCAAATAGCTGCCTCTACATATTACGACGATTCGGAGACTAATCACTCTCATGAAGATTTCGGTGTAACATAAGTCACCGGCTTCAAAAGACACGTCGCTCTGCATGAAGCTACCCTGGTGAGAAAGCTTAGGGCTTCATCTGTATCAGTCTCACTTGAGTCATGCCGGCCTTCTGTTTGGACGTATGAGACCTAGTGGTGTAAAGAATGTCATCTGAAACGAAGTTGACAAAACGGAAAGTGAACACGAAGTGTGTGACGATCCCGGGTTATTTAAAGAGGGTGAGTATGGATAGTTGATCACATTTAATCGGACACTGAGCGTTGTGAGACCGGTTGTAAAAGGTCTCACGTTCAATTTGTGGGCCCGTTCCGGTCGGTTAATTCAGCTGGTGGCACTAACCGGCTGATTTGAAATGTCCGGCAGACCAGCTGCAAAGATCGATCAGTAGACTTTGTAGTGGGTTGATATATTTTGTTTCCACAAGCTGCTAAGCATGTCCACTTTGATGGGTCTATTAGTAAGGATGCAATGTCGGATTGATTGATCAATGGCATGTGATCGAATAACCATGTGTGCTTGCTTTCTGTGGATGTCAATGTACATGAATTAATCAGTGGTGTGTGCGAGAACGAGAATCTTCATCGTTTCACGTATGAAATCGCTGCTCATGGTGACAAAATACAGTGCTATTACGGTGGTGTAGTTACATAAAGCTGTTAATAATGAACGGTACAAAATCTATGCCTACTCTAATCCACCAACCACCACGAGAAAACCTAGTGTTTAATTGTTTTGGGAGACCTTATCGGTTGGATCGTGACTGGACTAGGGCAATGTTATTCAAACCAGGTCCCACCACAGAGTTAGGTATTTTCAAAACACATTGTCCACCCTTGGCTCCAAGACGGGATGTACAAAACCTTCTGTTAAACGTTCATACTTGAAATTCCTTTGGGATCATTTTAAGCAGAATTAAAACAGCTTTGTTGAAAACACTGTTCGGTTGTACTTTGCCAGTTCATTTTACTCAGTGACTGTGAGAAACAACGGCAAGTAACACGTTCAGCGGAGATCCATAAGTAGAAAACTCATTGAATCGATTGAGCTTCACCTTATATCGGTTGGACATAGCAGATTTCACTTTGGGCCACTAGTGTTCGGCACTCGCCCACTCTACATCTATGTGTAGCTACAGAAATTTGTCAGAAATTTGTCATTTTGTTACTTTGTTTCTAAGGTAGAAATGTGCAGCCATGGATAAAACAAACTATACTTCATCCTAGAGACCAGATATTTTGTCCCTTCACTTTGCTAACGTACTGAGCCAAAGAACCCATATGACCATGGGAAATCCTGATAAAAAATATGGCTGATGGGTCTGTTGAACGTGGTGCTTGCGTTTGATCTACTTTGTCAGTTCAATAGATGGTCTTCTATAGTCGCATCCGATAGTCGTAAAAACGACTATTCTGCTCGGAGCAGAATTACACCACTCCTGTGGCGATTGTGAATATCTTTCAAGCTTACTTGTAGACTGTCTTCAAAGGGCCAGGATAACGAACACATCAATGCAAATTCTGCCTTGAAAACGAAGCGGACGTGCAGTGCAACAGAACTACACACCCCCAAGTAGACTCAGGGGCTAGCACTGCTTCTAGTTGAATGATGCCATTTCCTGTTGTGTGTACAAACCCGCATTTAACTCCGAAGCAAGTAACGTTTGCAGAACCGAAAGCCGTATGACCAACATAATACGCAAGCATGTATCTTTATGTGTTCGAAGTTGAAGTTTTCAAAATACAGTGTAGGTTTACGAGCAGGAACAGCGCAGCCTTCTATGATCAGACATAATCTCACCACAGGCCATCAACCCTTGTTCGTCACCTAAACCCAGAGTTTCACAACTTGGTGTAATCTTTGAACTGCTTTTGGACTACTGACGCGGCGGATCATAGTTTGTGTTTACTAGACTGATCTATCCTGTTTGGAGACAAACCAATAGTCTTGTTACGTAAGCTGCTATGGGACCCGTTTTTTTCAAATAAACCCACACGTCCACACTACACGAATTGTTTTTCTCACCACTGTTTATCTGGCATACCAACTTCCTGTACGTGAAGTTACAAGTTAGGTTGTTAGCTGGTCAACCAAGTGCCATGTGACGATTAGATGATTCCGTGTCGGTGGCACAGTTCCAGAACCAAGTGTGGTAGTGTCAACTAACTGGGCTCTAGAAAGCCAAACAACAAAGGGGGGAGGGAACTTTCAGTAGACGCGGCAAACAACCAAATGCCAGATAGCACAGGAACATATCCGAAAAAATGCTTTCCGGAGGATGGATTGTAACGGTCAAATGAAACTGCTCCAAACATAAAATACTTGGTTAGATGAGACGTTTGAATGATGTTTGAATCACACTGGTTAAGACTATGTGATCGTTCTGAAAATAAGTCAGGAAATGTTATCTAGTGCGTAGCGTCAAACACTAACGGACAGTCTAGATATTCTTAAATCAGGACATAATTCAGTGCCCGGTAGTTTGTTATACGGAGAGGTCTTCACCATTAAGTTCACTGAAAAGCTTGCTCCCTTATACTGCCAATTCTATGTGAGAAGACTTGATACATGCAGTAGGCCATGTGCGAGAAATGTTCGTGTGAAGCGTGGTGAATTTGTGGGTTCAAATTTACTTTCACTTGGGCAACTTATCGATAAAAATTCTCGCCTCGTTATCAGATCGGTGAAACATCGCCACATCTGCGATTTTGCCCTTTTGTGGCCCATTAGCTACACGACATCTGTGTCGCTCTCCAAGCGGAAAAATCTGAGTATACTTTTGATCACGAGGGACGGAGACTCCAGTTCCAGCAATTTTAACATGCAAATGCGGTCAAAAGTAAGCATTCATCCAAACTGCATTTTACGTGAGGTCTTGATTTCCCACCTTCCAAAGACTGCGTCCACCTCATGAGTGCGCAGCGGTCGTAAACCGACCGTGAGTGGTCTGTGGATCTTGAACAGTTAGCACATGAACCTTACATCGAATGACCTTATCAAGTGCGTGTGATACGGTCGTAAATTTTATGCTGAAAACTCATTGGGATGCATACAGCCCTAATTGACCTGACCTAGCTGAGCTGTGGTCGCTTACATTACTTTTACTAAAATTATCCTCTGGAGATCATCGTTTCCATACGCTTACTCTTGTCCATTCAACGAAGTAGGATGCTTTGTTTATTTAAGTAGCGACAAAAGCGACCCATATCCAAATTTGACATAATTGGCTAGATAATATCGTCTGACTTTTTCAAGCGTTAGTGGGACTCACCAGGTTGCCATAGAACCGGAGGTGTTTCTCTTACTGCTCGCGTACCCTGATACATTAGAAGCCGAAAATTGTACAACTGTACGGCATCAGAGAGTTGGACCTCTGTTTCTCCGGACTGAGGCTTCGCCACATGGTAGTCCTCACAGCCAATGCTCGGCCCCAACTCAACCTGATTTGATTTCATTTTGGCTGTTGGATCTTTGTCTTCAGGTTGCCCTATGTTTTCGAGCTTATCGACGTTCACGCCTTGTCTTATTGGCCTGCTGGTATCTGTGGCACTCGAACCAGTTTTCCCGTTGAGAAGTGCATCTCGACGACAAACGCGAAGTACTATTCTCGTATATGGTGGCTTTTCAGGCGGTTTGTACCGAACGATTGTGATCGGCCCTCGCTGGGTTACATTGATGGAGCTGGGGATGATACCATCTGTATCTGGAAATCAAAGAAAAGGATCAAGCCAGTTTGAGGTAACCTAGCATCGATAACGTGAGACAGTAAAACAGTTCCCGAGCTAGATAATGCAGTAGTGAGCTTTCTTCAGTCGCTACTGTTATATTTTATTTTTCATGTTGATGCTGGGCAAGGCTCCGGTGAAATTCCTTTAAAAACGGAAACACGCAGCCCCAGCAGTATTTCTGGGATCGTTTTCGGCTCTGCTTGGCCTGTCCCTAGTAGTGAAAATCCGTTATTGATGCCTTCATTTTTCCCAGATATTGCTTGAGTTCCGCAGTAGTGGTACTAATTTATGGATATTCCATGATTAACTGCTGAGTTCAGGCTTGGATGTAGAATGCTTCAATTGTATACATCATCGACGTTCTCACGGTTAAAGCGCCGAGGCTTTATATGAATGCCACTATTAGTTGACCAGACACCTTGGTTGTACTCCGTAGTGCAGTAAAATGCGAGCAATCGGCAAGACTTCCCAAAGCACTGGCCATTAAATCGCCCAACGTTGTGTTGAGTTAACATTCCCTGTATCTGATGTCCTATCGACACCGCCAACAAAAGGCTGTTGCAAGCCGTGTCGCCCGCTTGGCTAGAGTGAATGTAATCGCAGCCCATGACAGTGGTACAGCTTTTCAAAAATCGGTGGCCTGATTGAGGATTTGGATCCAAGAAAGTGGCAGTGGTAAGCATGCCGTAATTTGGTCACTTTGATACGAAATCCTAGTTCATGTGCACTTTGTTCACCTGACAACCTGAAAAGTATTCTAACGTACGTCCGATCCGAATCTGTGTGAAGTTCACATCGCAACATTCTCGCCACCTTGCACAAAAAATCTCATGCTATTGTGCATCTTCCAACTTGAAAGGAATTCGCGTAGCCCAAGGAGACGAGAAGTTCGTGAGTTAAGAAATACTAGCACGTGAACTCAAAAAGTACGGGCATTAGAAAGCAGCGATGCAAGTGTGCCAGTACAAAATAACATATTCACAATCCGTGTTCTCGTTAGCACAGCCCGGAGGCTTGTCCATTCACCAGAAAAGCACAATGAAACTAGTGAGTCACATGTTGCGTTTAAGGCTTTAAGGGCACCATATTAATAGGCCGGCTTGTTTATCGACATACGAGTGTTTACCAGCATGGGGAACGCTCCACGGATTGTGTAAACATAACAGAAGATAGAATCTTGCTCTTATTTTACAGTTCACAAAAAGTTTTCCCGGAACATTGGGCCATATGTAGCCTTGCAACCATCAACTTTCTGCACAATTGACTGGTTTACGAAGAAGGCTGGATGGATTGTATCCCATCATAAATGAGCAGCAGTGCAGTAGCAAGTTAACTGTCCCCCTCCCAGATTCATAGCATCTTTAAGGGGAATTCTGCTCAGCTTTTGTGAACTTGTCAAAGTAGATTACTACCCAGGAAATATCAGCCTTGGTCGGCCCCTTCGGTAGCTAGCTTAAAAGGAAAAGATTTTCACTTGCCAAGTCAAATAACGGGTACTCAGATAGTTGTGTTTCAATTGGAGGTTAGATTACGGATATCTGTCACTTCCCACAAAAAAGTAGGTTTGTTCAACAGTAATTGCTGATTCTTATGAAAATTATGAAGACCGTTCGGTTTTGATTGCTTCAACTGTATACTACATATACAAGAATGATTTTACTGTCCATTAGATACCATCAGTTGCACAGAGGAGGATTTTGAGCTGTGTGCTTTCATCGCTGTAGCTTCGTGCCTGATTTTCTGCCTGGAACAACTATTCACGTGTCGATACAGCTTGGCGCGTAGTTTGTCAAGTTAAGGGTGTGACGTCCGAACACCGAACAGCTGACTTATTTTGAACCTTATAGTCATACGAATGATCATTTCATTAGCTTCCTACTTAAAACGACTTCAGTAGCAAACAGCTACTTCCACCAAAAATCACGTTTTCTCTGAAAGTATTCTGAACTCAAAACAGTTATTTTGACTTGTGAGATTAATATGAACCTTAGAATTGTAGCCCCTTTGGTACTTGATTCCGCATTGTCACCAATTCGTATCCAGGTCCTCGGTAGATTCTGGCTGCCGTTCAGTAACACTGAATGGTGGTCAGTAGAGTCAGGTTTGTACGATTTAGCAACATTGGTCGTGTACTGAGAGAACACCGGTAGCGCAGATTCTGCCTGTGCCCAGCTTGCAGTATTTACCAATCAACCGGTGATCCGCCTTACTTGTTAGTGTATTTTTGTTGTTTATAACGTGACCTTATATCTAAGGGCTTTTTCGATCTATCGAGTGATAAAGTTTAGGCACTTTGATTCTAAGCGCATCAAAGTAACAACCGGCCACCATACACTTGTTCACATGACCTGTGGTGGTATTTGTTTATAAGTACGTATTTACACTGCTAGCTTAAAGTATGTACAAACACCCGAGACCTTGGTCATTTTTCACATGCCCCAATCCTCGCGTCATATAAACGCAATTTTTCCATCACTGAAATGTCTTATAAAGTTTCATTGATCCATGTGGTCTTTTCACCCGATGGATCAGGCTATGAAGCAGCACAACTTCCAACTCTTAGCACTCGCTCCGAAATTTTTTCTTCACATACACTTGGCTTGGTTCGTAATTCTCTGAATAATAGTAATAATAATAATAAAAGCGGTTTTAAGAGGTGTCACTTTTGGTGTAATAACTTGGAAATCCGGAACAGGATGTCATGACTTTTGAGATCAAACTTTACTTTTATCACGTCCTTGAAATTCGCCCCACTTAGACCCTGTATCATTGAGATCTTGAGCCCTCCCGAATATCAGAAATAACTTGCGCCGAAAGCTTATCTGACCTAGCCTTGGACTTGGTCTGTTCCAATATGTATTGGGCTAGCATCCGTCTCGCATTCGTGAATCTCTATTATCGACCTCCGTGCAACGCAAGTGTGTGTTGGGCCACCTGTACAGCGCCCTCTAACAACCGGAAGGTGAACAGAAGGGATAGTTAAAAAAGTATCAGCATACGAAACCGATTCTCACCAACTATGAATCATGCAGGAACAAGTACACCACAAAAATTCAAAGTGTGCGGAAAATATCTCAGTGACCAGATCGGTTCGTGCAACGGCGGCTACCTTGGAGGAGATTTATTGCATCTTATTATCTTGAATGTCTGTAGCTTTCCCACCGCTTATTGGCGGACTCACAAAAGAATCATGGGTGCCACACAATAAAATACGGTAAAATGTAAGACCCATACAATACAGATAATGTAGAGGCAGAAAACAGTTAGACTGCCAGTCCAAACCGATAGCTCACAACGGTGAATCACATGAGGTATCCACAGAACTGCAGGTCGAAAGTGGCCCAGCATCACTTGGGTTTACATGATGTTCGTTAAAGTACATGGTTTCTAGCGCCACCATGGGCTTAACATTTCGGAATATTTGAGGTTAAGACAGGTCCTTATCTCAGTTTCCACTCTACCAATATATGGCATCCGAGACAGCGTATATACTGAGACGTTGATCAGAATCGGATGTTCGCATTAGGCCATCTTACACAAACTTCCTGGGGCAGTGGATTTGTCAGCCTTTCTATAGATTTTATCGCCATCTATTGATGAGAAAGAAATGCGACAAAAGCTGGAAGTTCCCATTAGTGTTTGTTTTAATCCCATGAGAGGCATAGCAGACTGACCGATGTCTGCTGCTTTCGTCTGAAGTAAGGCCGGTTCAAGCCACAAGGTCGATACAGTACTTTGCAAAAAGTCTTCAAGTAGAACATAAGGTTGACGGAAACACGGGGACTGCGCCTACCTGATGAGCCCCAAGAAGGGCGAAACCGGTCGTGGGCTGTGGATGGATTTTCAGTAACCTTATGAGTAGTACATTACAAATCTTCATCAGCTCCTTTAGGAGCGACGGTTTTAGAAGACTTCGGTCGTGCAGGGGCAAACAATATTTACACCTTCGGCCCGCCATAACTTAAGAGTTGATTTCCTCCCATCCTTCTTCGTCATCATTCCAGAAATTGAGTAAACTCAATAGATAAGACGCAGATGTTGTGCAACATACGATCGTAAAATTGACAGAGACGAGACAGAGAAGAAATTTCGCCTTTTTTCCGCCTAGTGTAAAGTGAAGCTAAGCCCAACACTGGGATAGTTGCAGCAGACTTCCATCTCCCCACTTGTAAACGGCTGCTTTGCTAGCCCAATCTGATTACGCTGATGGATCGGATAGGGCTCCGTAATTCTCTTAAAGGAAACTACTCACAAGCTTGCTGAAAACTCTTCGACAGCCCACGACCGGTTTCGCCCTGCTTGGGGCTCACCATAATCATCATGTGACTATTTCAGAAGATGACGTTTCGTATTTTCGGTAGATCCTCATGTTCACTCTGTCCTCAGATGGCGTAATTATCCATTAGGAGCAGAAGTAAGAACCATTCAGCTAGCCCAAGTAGCCTGGCAAATGAGATCTGGGGGTAAATTCTTACCGTGTAGGTTCCTTCTTGGGATCTCATCTCGAAGGTGCAATAATAAGTAATGGGGGAAATGTATTGGCCGGTTAGTCCTTCAGGTCTGTGCCAAACTTGTACAGTACAACGTGTACTCTGAGATGGCGTGAGTATTTGAAACGACATCTATTATTTCTGAATCATATACCTAACCCATCTTCTAAACCACTCACCTGGTCTTTTTATTAGCTGGAAATAGAATTCTTTGACACCAAGTCGATGTCGGGCTTGACAAAGATAACCACCAAAGTCGGACGTTTGAACTCCCATGAATCTGAGCGAAAAAGTCAAGTTGTTCTCATCTGACTTTTCTGCCACAATGTGGTGCTTTTCTCCCATTCCATTGCCAACCTGTATACGAGACTGGCCTTGGTCTAGTAAGCTGCGGATGGTTCGATTGAGCGCTGATGCCCGACGAACACGGTATTCGTAAAAGTCGTCGTAACCATGATATGGGTATCCGGATGCGTAGAACGTTTCATAGTGGCGTGGATATCCAGATGGGGCGCTTGACTGAACAACATTGTTCAGCTGAAACCAGGTTACTTCAACTGAAGGAGGATTGGCTTCCATGTGAGCAACAAAACTAACAGTTTCTCCGAGGTGTGCAGCTACTTTTTGCTTTGTTCGCCGATCCAGTATCGGCTGATCTGTAGCAGAAATTGTACAGTCAACTAAAGATTAGGGTTTGGTTGTGTTAAAAAAAATATGTGAATGTCAAACGACCCGCAGTAGGCACACCTACGAAAAATAACACTGGCTTTTCTTAGTACCACCATGAATAACGGTAGTCCTGTAGTGGCACAGCTATGAAATCACAGTGAGTTCCCATGGTTGGGGGGAATTGACGCACGGGGATTCATAGAAGGTGAAATAGTCGATCAATAGCTAGCGTGATGATTTCCGTCAGGCTCGCAAATAATACTCTGAATCTACTGAAATAGAGAATAATTCAGAAAGCAGTATAAAAACGTCATGCAATTCAGCCTGTATACTGGGTGCACAAAATAATTTTCGGACTACGAGCGTTTCCATGGCCATCCTCCCTCACGTACGAATTCCAGTGGTAATTCACCCTTCCAACACCGAACTCAAACTTTATGCGAAAAGGAGCTTGACGATCCACTAGGTGGGGTGCTTGATGTGGTTAGTTTAACTCTTCTGGAACAGTAAACCATCAAAGAGGGGGAAGAGCTTGACTGTTCCTTCGGGACTATACGCCATATTCGCAGATCAGAAGCGTTGTTGTGAGCCTTCCAACGGAGCGACCATCTTTATAAAGGTCTCTCTCCAACTGAAGTACCTCACCTAGTTTACAGTGTAAGACCCAATGTAACTTCGAATCTTCCGGAATTTGCTGGGTGTTGACCAATCAGTTTCCTGGTCCCAGTCCTTCATTCATGTACTTTAGTTTGGCACAGGGATAATTCACACGACCACAACAGGTTCGTCCATCAGCCACACCTAGTTCGCATCCATCCAGGCAGTATATCTGCTTTTCAAGCAAAAGTCTGTCGTGGAGTTATGGCACGCACATTTCGACAGAACCCAGTCCCAACCTAAACAATAAAACCGATTACTTTTGGGAAATATTTTCCGGAAACCTCAGTTTAAGCTACAAATACACTCTAAAGCAAATTAGATGGCAGCACAGACACTAGAAACGAAATGAGTCCATGCTGAAGAGCTAAGCTGCTCTCATCCATTGTGAGATTGGTCACTTGATGCAAATTGCATGAGTAGCTGCCTATACTCTCTCTCTCTCTCTCTCCCTCTGGCAGTGAAGTCGTCCGTACTTGCTTCCCATTACTCGTTGGCCAAGTAAGACACAGTCCTGGTAGAATGTCCCTCAGATAATTACTCAAAGCACACTGGCAACGCCAAAAAGCAGATGATGTGAGATCCGGTTTTCAAACTGTAAAACACTTTCAGCAACTACAGGACCCAAGTAACACGTTTTCTTCTCTAAATATAGCTGGTAACTCCACATGCAATTAGCAATGCAACAATTAAGATGGAAGCACAAATTTGAGGACTCAGCTCCACCTAAGCTTGAAAGTGACAAACTGATTAAACGTGTTCAAGAGATCAAACGGGTCGAATACGAAACTTGGGCATACCAACTGCATCGTTAAGCCCTCCATCTGGTTCGAATGCTGACTGATTTTGAATCATTTATCCTCCAAGTGTATTAAAAACGGACTTCCTGATTTTGCAGCGACATTGTAGTAGAAATAACTGGATGACATAAGTACTCCGTTGCAATATAGTGAGAGAGGTGGTGACTTATGTTTTTGACAATAATACAAAGACGCCACCTTCGCACAGGCGGCCTTTTTTTGAAAGTACGTTCACCCTTATGGTACTCTGTGGGTACGCCGTAATTCATGCCTACACGGCATCTAATATATTCGCCCATTCGCAACATGCATGAATTTGTACCGTATTTGCTTCGTCTATCGCACTGTTTATGTGTGGACTTAAGAGAATCCCCTGAATTTCTGCTAGGTAACTCGTGTTTTCTCGGACGTTAACTTGGAACTGGTTAGTGTCAAATTTAAAGTTGCTTCCACCAGCTTAAAATCTTAGTGAGAGCTTGTTTTACTTGAAGCGATGCAGGTAATGGCCTCAGTTTTACACCGTACCTCATGAAGAATCTCCGAGCTGTACTGTTCTGGTTGTTCCTTTCGAATCTTTGAAGACAGTGAAAACAAACGCGCATGTGCCATGAGCGCTTTGGTGAGCAAACTTACGTGTACTCCATCAGTTCAGCCTTGAAAAATAGTACCACTATTTAACCAACTCGATAGAGGGCAGAGTTGATCGAAATTTCGATGTTATTGATTGGTCTTAAAATTTTTGTCGATTCTGATCTATTTAGGTGTATCTGCCAAATGCCTTTTGGATTCAGTAGTTAGTCTTGATCACAAAAAACAGATTGATATACATGTCGTACTGTACGATTCTTAGATGGTAGCCTCGATTAACTTACAGAAGAGGTCCAAGAAGAATGATGCATGAGCTTTTCCCCCACTGCTGGACACTTCACAGGCGTACCAACCCCGCTGAGACAGACCGACGTTTGTGAAGTTTAACTGCGAATCTTGGAAGACAGTCATGCTGACCATTTTATCAATTTCCGGTGGTGAGGATTTACTCAATTGATTGAATTCCTTTCTTTGTTGTGTCGTAAGTCCTCGGTTGTCGTTTCTCACTGGCTTCTTATCAGATGCCGTATTCTCATGCTTGCTATCCAGTAGCTCGGCAAATTGGGAACGACTTCCTGCAAACCATGAGAAACTGAATCCATCTTGAGGGTTGCCACCAGAGGTTTGACAAGACAGTGTGACTGTCTGACCAACAACAGGTTCTTCGGGTACGGTTATCAGCTGAACCGTCGGTGGGTCTAAAGATGTGGAACAGAAAAAAACGAAAAATCATGTCTAGACGTGTGGACTACTCATATATTTGCTGAGACCTCTTCGAGAGTGCAAAACCAGTTTCGTTCTTCTTGAGGCTTATCGGATAAGCCCAGTTTCTGTCTACCTTAGGTTTTGCTTTAACCCAAATTGCGCGAAATTAGCACACTACACTCATGTCAGTCTGGGTCAAAACCGGTCACATTATTAAGATTTGTCAACATGATCAAGCTGAAGGTAAAAATTAAGGTCCTGCACTGAGGAAGAGGGCTCGCTCGAAGTAGAGGTAACTTCTGTTTAAATTGTTACGCCTGATATAACATGTGTGAAGCTAATCAGAAGGAGAAGCGGAAGTCACTTCAAAAGCAATGAAATTTTGGGTTGAAACCGCAGACGCATTATTTACAGCACCGAGTGACTGTACTATCCTAGGTGTTCTGTGCAGCGACCAATGCAGTAAATCTCAGTTCCGTCAGTTCGGTTTTGTACCCTACTAAGACGTACAGGATGTCATATTTACTCTGACCAACCCTCACACAAACCCCTCATACACTGGGATTAATTAACCGGCAATACGATTTCATTAACAGCGATCTACACGCTTGCACACGTATTGTATCAAAAAATATTGAATGAGTTTTATTCGCCCTATTCGCGTTTGGTCTATGGTGGTTAACTGCACAAATGGACAATCTTATATAACCCTGCACGCGTGTCTTAAAGCCACATAATTTACTTGCGTCGGGCAAGTACTGCTGGACTGCCAGTCAAGTGCACTTGTTTCCAGACCATCTTGAGTGGCAATGAGAACATGGCCCCGATCGAGTATTGATAACACGAAATATTTTTAACGAAAACGAGATCTCCACCCAGATTCGTGAGTTTACTCAAGTGATCAAGAAGGGAGGGTTTTGCCAGTTACTGCAAAAGTCAACTACCAACAGTTTCGCGCGCAACCACTGTTTCATTGAAACCACTCAGTGGGGGGCACCTTTTGAGAAAAATTGAATAACCTGTGGATTTGTCGTCAAAAGTTCGGGAAGAATTAGGAACATCCTGATAAGACAACAGACGGACAGCATATAACAAGGTGAAGGTTTTGGTCAGCTGGTATATGTATATACTATATATGTATATAGTATATATATATATAAACTGTATAGAGAATCCTGTCTTGAAAGCATACACTATATCAGCTGGTCATTTCCATGTCTAGTCTTGCTGCAGTACCTTAGCATGTATATCAAGATTGAGGA